GGATGGTTTGTGCTGTGATTTCTTGTCCATCTATCTGTCCTCCGTCCATATGCTTCAGCGCAGCCTCCGCTTCCTCTGCGTCATCGTACTCAACATAAGCAAACCCTCTTGGAAGAAAATTAAAACGGTCCATCGGCAAGTCTACCGATTTGACGTGCCCGTAAACACTAAATATCTCAAACACGTGATCTTTAGTCACGTTGCGCGTCAGATGAGCGATGTAAAGCTTCGTGGGTTTAGGGGTTGGGCTTCTCTTGCGCCTCCTCGGCGAACGCGACGAACCCGACGACGATGATGAACGCGCGCGAGGTCCACGCTTCACGGGACTTGGAGATTTGGATACAGACTTGGACACTGATCGCCGCGTGGGCCTTGTGCGAGGTGGCGGAGTGGGTGATTTGGGGGGCGGAGATTTTTTGGGCGACTTTGGGGGAGGGGACACTTTAGGTGACTTGGCTTTGGGGGGAGGTGGAGGAGCTTTATCTTTGATTTCTTTCGGTTCTTTAGTCACTTCTTTTACTTCTTTAGCTTCTTTTTCTTTTACTTCTTTTTTAGCCTTTGGAGTCTTGTTCTTTTCAGCACCTATGACAAAAACAGAATTAATATAATCATTTCAATGATGGCTTTGGAACTTTCTTTGCTTTACAACTTGCCTCAGAAGGCAGCTCACGCCATTTCTGAAATGCTGTCCACTGTTGGACATTAACTTGAAAGGGAAAAAGAAGTTTTAAATATTGGATTTGAAGTCTTAGGTAGCTTGCGTTGGAGACGTAATCTAACACCGGTTAGTAAAGTCTGTGAAGCAGTGCTGATATCCTTGTTCTGGACACCCAATGGACTCAAAGAATTACTGGAAATGTGTTTCGAATTTCCCTTCAATCTGATTGGCAAATTGACGGTGGCTTTTTTAACAACAGGCAAATTATGGCACGTACTAAAATCCTGGATTTCAGCGCAGCTTCGCCGACGGACTTAACCCATGTCGTGTGTCGTGACGCTAGCCTTACACGGGAAACAAGAAAAATATTACTTGCTATTTTCATGAATCACGACAAATAAAAAAGCTAAACACAGTTTATGACGATACTAGGAGACCATGAGCCAGCGCATTTCACAAGACAGGGTGTTGAAGTGGTGCAATTTTTTCACGAAAAACAAGGCAAATTTTGTAAATAACAGCAACCAGGAAATGATTGGCCCATGCGCGATAGCTGCGATCTTGGACGTCAAGTCTGCTGTTTGCGCACTTGGTTGTTGGGCTAGAGAGAAATTAGGTGGAGGGAGTGAGATCCCCCCGCATAAAAACAAGAAAAAGAAAAGTTCATTCAAAGCAGGAGCCCATAGATAGATAGATAGATAGATAGATAGATAGATAGATAGATAGATAGATAGATAGATAGATAGATAGATAGATAGATAGATAGATAGATAGATAGATAGATAGATAGATAGATAGATAGATAGATAGATAGATAGATAGATAGATAGATAGATAGATAGATAGATAGATAGATAGATAGATAGATAGATAGATAGATAGATAGATAGATAGATAGATAGATAGATAGATAGATAGATAGATAGATAGATAGATAGATAGATAGATAGATAGATAGATAGATAGATAGATAGATAGATAGATAGATAGATAGATAGATAGATAGATAGATAGATAGATAGATAGATAGATAGATAGATAGATAGATAGATAGATAGATAGATAGATAGATAGATAGATAGATAGATAGATAGATAGATAGATAGATAGATAGATAGATAGATAGATAGATAGATAGATAGATAGATAGATAGATAGATAGATAGATAGATAGATAGATAGATAGATAGATAGATAGATAGATAGATAGATAGATAGATAGATAGATAGATAGATAGATAGATAGATAGATAGATAGATAGATAGATAGATAGATAGATAGATAGATAGATAGATAGATAGATAGATAGATAGATAGATAGATAGATAGATAGATAGATAGATAGATAGATAGATAGATAGATAGATAGATAGATAGATAGATAGATAGATAGATAGATAGATAGATAGATAGATAGATAGATAGATAGATAGATAGATAGATAGATAGATAGATAGATAGATAGATAGATAGATAGATAGATAGATAGATAGATAGATAGATAGATAGATAGATAGATAGATAGATAGATAGATAGATAGATAGATAGATAGATAGATAGATAGATAGATAGATAGATAGATAGATAGATAGATAGATAGATAGATAGATAGATAGATAGATAGATAGATAGATAGATAGATAGATAGATAGATAGATAGATAGATAGATAGATAGATAGATAGATAGATAGATAGATAGATAGATAGATAGATAGATAGATAGATAGATAGATAGATAGATAGATAGATAGATAGATAGATAGATAGATAGATAGATAGATAGATAGATAGATAGATAGATAGATAGATAGATAGATAGATAGATAGATAGATAGATAGATAGATAGATAGATAGATAGATAGATAGATAGATAGATAGATAGATAGATAGATAGATAGATAGATAGATAGATAGATAGATAGATAGATAGATAGATAGATAGATAGATAGATAGATAGATAGATAGATAGATAGATAGATAGATAGATAGATAGATAGATAGATAGATAGATAGATAGATAGATAGATAGATAGATAGATAGATAGATAGATAGATAGATAGATAGATAGATAGATAGATAGATAGATAGATAGATAGATAGATAGATAGATAGATAGATAGATAGATAGATAGATAGATAGATAGATAGATAGATAGATAGATAGATAGATAGATAGATAGATAGATAGATAGATAGATAGATAGATAGATAGATAGATAGATAGATAGATAGATAGATAGATAGATAGATAGATAGATAGATAGATAGATAGATAGATAGATAGATAGATAGATAGATAGATAGATAGATAGATAGATAGATAGATAGATAGATAGATAGATAGATAGATAGATAGATAGATAGATAGATAGATAGATAGATAGATAGATAGATAGATAGATAGATAGATAGATAGATAGATAGATAGATAGATAGATAGATAGATAGATAGATAGATAGATAGATAGATAGATAGATAGATAGATAGATAGATAGATAGATAGATAGATAGATAGATAGATAGATAGATAGATAGATAGATAGATAGATAGATAGATANCAGCACCCTTTAACTTTCCAAACCTTTTTCTACTATTTCTACTCATTTTAAAATCTTTCCAAAAGTTTCCAAAATGTTTCTTGGCTGCTTTATTGTCTGATATAAAATGTTTACTACAACATAACAGTGACTTCATATTTCTTCGGTGAAAAGTCTCCAGCAAGTGCGGTCAAAGTGCCGGCTGTCGCCTGGCTGCCACTTTTAAACCTGTTAACCAGAAGTTCATTTCTGTCTGGTGCAAGTCTGAGGGTGGTTTCCAAAAGTGGGAACCGATCATATTGAAAATAAAATATGTCTTTTCTTTTAATTTTTACTAAAGCCCATCACTGCCGTGCATACCATTTAGAAATAAACTGATCCGGTCTGGTTAGTCAGTTCTGGCAAATGGAAAGCGCCCTAAAATCAGGCTTAACACACACGTTGCTATTGCCACTAACTTCAACTTATACCTCAACAATGAACTTTGTGAAAAAAAAATTTAAGCATCAAAAGGAAAAGTTTAGAAATTTCTTACCACTACTACTGCTACTTGAGCCACTACTGCTACGGCTGGAGCCACTGCTGCTACCTGAACTGCTGCTTCTACTGCCACTACTGCTTGAACCTGAACTGGAACTGCGGCTACTGCTTGAGCTGCCAGAACTTGATCCTGAGCTAATGAAACAAATACAGTTGAGCATGTTAGAATGGTCTAAGACACAAAGGCAATAATTTGTAGCCTCTTCAGCGTGCAAATAAAGTCAGTTTTAACACTTGCTCTTCAGGAAAGAGGTAGCTAGCATGTACCAGCCCAAGAGCCATTTTAACTAGCCCGAAAAAAAAGTTTTGATGGGCAGGATTCAGTAACTTCACTTGACCATCAGGCGAGTTAGAATAAAACTCATTAGCTAAATAGCAAAATCCACTAGCCCTGGTCTATCAGGAACGGCTTTCTTTGCATGCTGCTCTGTTTACAGGCATTCAGTCAGATTCCTTAGGAATTGGAGTAAATACTGTAGCAAGAGGAAGAAAAACAGTGGGGGGTGTTTTGCAGCAGCTATTATTACACGTTTTCTATAACCTTCATTTGCACGTAACTTCAAAATCATAACCAGAAAACAAATGATCCCAGCTACAGTGTATCTCGCAACATAGTGTTCTGGCATTCACAATTCACCGTGAAAAAAAGAAGTCAAAAATTACTTTTCACCATCCTGTCGGTCATCAATAACATAATATGTGGCTAAAATTGAGTCTAGCTGAATGTAGGAAGTCCATACTGTACCTCAGTGTGTACCTAGCCCCAAAGAAATAAAGGAAAAAAAACAAAAACATCCAAACATTTATGCAGTAACGACAGAAACGAGCTTACCTGCTAGAAGAGCGGTTACGTCTTCGACTTCCCTTGTCTGTACCATTCTTTGCACTCGCTTTGCTTTGATCCTTAGTTTTTGTCTTTTCTTTACTTGCCTTTACGGGACTTCGGCCACGGGTGCTTGACGTGCGTTTCTTCTCCTTGTCCTTGTCCTTGCGGGCCGTGGGAGAGCGCGACCGCGAGCGACTTCTACGACCCCTGAAAGAAGGAGAAAAAGAGTGAAAACAAGAAAGAGATCTATAGAGAAAATAAATTTTGTTTTCACCAGCATAAAATAGCACCAGAGTGTTAAAAAACGGCAGGATGGCAAAGGATTCCGCTCGAATCTACTCACATATTTCGTCAAGTTGTTACGACGCCAAGATGGCCGGCTGGTGTGCTATAGAACCCAGTCTCCAATGCACCTTTGTAACGCGGCCATCATGGCGGACGGTAAGGTGCTAGTGGAGTTCGGCGAAATTCAAAGGCAGTACCTACAAATGGCTCCGTTGAAGGGATTTATTTGGAAAGTTAGTTTTATATCTTTCTTGTGTTAGTCGCTGATAAGTCTTGTTCTGAGTATTTTCGATGTATTTTTAGGAAATCGAAAAAACAAACTTGGACTTTGAAGCACAGAAAAAACTACTCCACATGGTTGGTAAGATTTAAGATGCAAGTTTAATTCTTCGTGAGAATTGCAGTTTCTATATTATTTTTGCCACGTTAATTATGCATACACATATTGTTCAAAGGAAAACAAACTAAGCCCTTGAAATTTCAGTTACAGTTTTTCAGGGCTGTCAACCCCCCACGTCACCAAATATTGAGAATTCGTAGGGATTGGGGAAGGAATGATAGATGACATCATGTCACACGGCAAATGACGTCATTTTTTGCCAAAAATGCTCGTTGATTCCAATCGACATAAATCGCACATAAACAGCTCATATTTAGCCACATTACACAAAGGCATACCAGGATCTATGAGGAAACATTCCATGTTGACAGTAGCTCAAACAACGCAAAAAATTTGAAATTTTATGGTCGGAAAGTTGAGTCTACAAAAAATTGCAACTTTGGCGATTATCCGGGAGATATCAGACTCTAATCTGGAGACCGGGAGATACGGTCCAAAATCTGGAGTCTCCTGAATTATCCGGGAGAGTTGACAGCTCTGGTTTTTATTGAGCACTGCATGGTTTGCACGAGACATCACGGCGGCCATGTTGGTGGTCAAGAACAAAAGCATCTTCCTCCTTTGGGAACTGAACTCCATTTTCATGTAAATTCTTCGAGAAAAAAAAATTCTTTTGTATTGACCGAACATTCATGGCCACCTTGTCATATGGTTGCAAACCAAAATAAATATTTTAATTTTTTTGGAATGCTGCAAAATGCTGTATTGCCAATTTTTTTTTGGCATTTCATCAATGAAAGTTTTGCTGCTTTGTTCACAGGAAGTAGTGACAGGTCTGATCTAGTTGTTCCTTTTTTTTCCAGCCTACAGTTTCATCAGTATTTGTTGGATCATTATAGCCTCAGTGGTGGTCAGCAGGGGTACCGTAACATTCCAAAAAGCCCCCGGGCTTATATTTTTCAAAGGCCCTTTTGAGGAGCTTATTTTTGAAGGGGCTTATATTTGGAGGGGCTTATCTATGGAGGGAAATTTGCGTTTCAAAATCCATTGGGCTAGCCTTATAGTGGGAAAGAAATTTACCGTTTTTGCTTTGTTTTACTTTGTATTTGAGGGCAATTGCCAAGTACAAGCCCCTGGGGGGCTTATATTTGGAGGGGCGATTTAACGGAGGGTTTTTTGCGTTAGGAATTTGGGGGGCTTATATTTAGAGGGGCTTATACACGGAGGGGCTTATTTTCGGAATTTTACAGTATTTTGCGAATACTGAATGCAGAACACTGAATATAATGACTCTGAGTTTGGTGATTAGGGTTAGGAAACTAAGTGAATCAAATTCCATTCAGGGTCATTAAATGCAGAAAGCAGACCTAAATGCTGCCAAATGACGAATGACTGTTAAGTTCAGTGATTAAGGTTAGGAAGCCAAAACTGAGTGTCAGGTTCCATTTAGGGTCATTACACTGGGAAAACAGACCTGACACTTGATTCACTCAGGTTTCTAACACTAATCACGAAACTTCAGAGTCATCCGGCCTTCTGTATTTGGTGTTTTGCGTTCGGCCCTCAGCATTCTTCAAAATACTCCTGCCAAGTGGTGGTTGGCGTGTGTGTTCAGTTTGAGCTTGGCTTTTTTTCCAGACATACTACTTCACTGCAGATTTGAGGCATGCTCCTTCAGTGACCTACCTGAGGATGTTTCTGAAACACATTGTCAAGCTTTGTGAAGAAAATGACTTTCAAATATCTGACCAACTTTATGAAGCTTATGGAGAAGTTTTAGGCAAGGTGGAACAAAGCAATGACAAGTGTTACAAAAGTTACACCTTGGTAAGACCTCATTCAATCGAAAATCTCTATTAAACTTGCCTTCAGCGGTACACACTGTCTGTGACAGAGCGTACATTACCTTGTGCATACAATGTCTTTAGCTCTTGGTGGGGGGGGGGGGGGGGGGGGAGAGGGAAAAGGGGACTCAACAAAAGTTTATTCGGGGGGGCCCCCCTTTGACATAGGTTTTGTGGGGGAAAATTTGCCCCCTTTAAAAAACCTTCTTCTTAAAAAGAACTTGGGGGTGTGGTTGTTAAAACATTTTTCACTTCAACCCCCACA